CAACTATTAACGAAATACACAATAAAACACAGCGGAAATAATTTGAAAACGAATCCGTCAACACTTATTACCAAGCTACCTACGAAGTAGTGGTACATAGTAATTATATTGTCTATTAAGTTGTCTGAATATATGTAGACTTTGTTGCTTCATTTTCAAGCAATGTGTTACATTGTCATAGTTGAATATACGCATCATGTCTCTTGATTGATTCTAGGGAATGTCCTAGCTATTTGTCGATATTATTGTTAAGTTCTTTAATAATTGATTTGTGTAATTGTTTATTTTCAGTATCTAATATATTCTTTTGAAGTAGTTTGTCTTTCATTACTTGTTGGGGCCTTTTTTTTCCTAGTTTGTGCTTAATAAACATAGTGAAAGATAGTGTTTATTTTAAACGCCAGCAACCATTAAGAAATGCTTTTTTTTTTCTATTTTTTAATTCTAATAGCATGACTGTCACATTGTAGGTGTGGTGCGAAATTGATCGTGCTGGTATGTCTATTAGCAACGGTTACGACTTTAACAGGTTGTTTCCATTGAAATACACACGAAAAAGAAAACATTTCCAATCTACTTTATATTGAATGAAGTTCATAATTAGATTTTTTATAAAATACAGTATCATTGAGTCAAAATATAGCACTATAAACTGATTCCTTTTGACAAGCTATAGAGGTTAATTCCGCGTCAGAATAATTTTGAACTTTTTGTGGATCAAAATACATTAGAACTTCATTATAGTAAAAGATTGACTCCTTAATTTAACTGTTCTGCCTTTTGGCTACTGTGAGAAATATTAATGATGTTTGCTATTCACACAAAACTCGTTCAAAGTATCTTAATCGTAAAAAAATATACCTATACTGGAAGTATGCAAGTAAACGTTATGTATACGGTAATAAAAAAATACCTTTTGAAATCTTGTATTTATAATGAAGCTGTTTGTATAGATACTAAGTAATAAGATGAAGACATTCTTAGGTAGTAATAGGTACTACTACCTAAGAATATCTTCAAGAAAAGAGTTAATTCTTTTCTCATGAATAGATTAATTTTTAATTTTTATATTCATATGTTCCTTGTTATAATAATTATTATATTTAAGCACCGTACTCGTGATGTACTGTTCATCCCAAATATTGACTAATAGAGACTGCTTCTAACATTATGCCTGTCTGAATCATATTATAATTAGGCCAAGAGAGTATTCATAAAACTTTGTATTTCAAATCGATAGCCATATTTATCAAAATTGCAATATAACGTACGTACAAGTCAACAAGGTTTCCATTGTATCATTTTAGGTCGAAATCCCTGAAAATGACTCTTTCTTACGTAGACCATCTACTAAAATCCACAAAAAATTACTATCATAATTAAGGGTATAATAATCGATGTACTTAGGGTATAGTTATTATACATAAGTGATGAAAATTAGTAGCCATATTACTAACAATGTACATTGTCGACCTCCACCATCGTGGTTAATTCCTAATTTCATCACCATTCACTTCTGTCATTCGATTTAATTGTTATTTATACGTATTTTATTTATTTAACGTTATTTAAAACAGTTATTATTTTCGAAATAAATTGTTTTTTATGTAATTGGCAAACACGCTGACGGCCTACTTGATGGTAACACCTATATACATGTACATCACTACATGTTATTATGTGTTGTCGTTGCAGAGGACTAAAATGTCATGTCTCTTATCCTGTATATGAATTGCCTAATTGCACCCTACAACTGAAACACATCTCACAAAGCAAGCTGTATGACGTCTGAAGTAGACGAGACTGAGGTACCCAGGCAGACAATTTTTTTACAATGCACTTCTAGTTTTTGCCTAAAATGAGATATCAATTGCCTAAATTTCCTTAACAATAAGCATTAAGTATAAAGTGCACATACGATTTGCCCTACAATTTCAAGGAACACCACGTTTATTGACAAAGGTTAACAACGGTTTAATGTTTTTATTTTGTATGATAATTACGCTTAACATTTGGTAAGCATTGACCGTAATCTCGTCTATGACTGTAAACGGGTTTACTTCAAACGTGTTCAATCGTGATATAATCATGGCTGACGTCATTGACGACGTTGCATAGTATTTTTTTTGTTTATATGTATCTCGTTTTAACATAAAATTGATCAATATCATTAAATTACAAAAGTATGACACCTTAGTCATCATGAATGGCAACGAACGTGGGGTATCACGGGCGTCACATGACGTGTGTCATTATCATGTATATAGGCTAGACTGTTGCCACTTGCCATCGAGGAATTCATCATCTTGTTTTTTTTTTATAGTATGATGGTGGCAAGTATACGGTCCATCGGCCCATGTCATGGTAAACGGTTTCCGTAGACTATGAAAGTCTGAAACACCAGGGGTGTCCCGAGCACGATGGCATTTGTCATTCTAAGTATGTAAAACAAGATTAAACAATGTTAATATTTTATTACTTAATGTACGCACATTAATAACCCAATTTCAAAGGAAATAAAACTTTCTCATTTTCATTGATAGAGACAATAATATAAAAAATATTCTAAATTTGAAATTGATGAGAACAGTTTTTAAACATAACACTGACAAATTAAGGGACATATAGCCGAAATTGTAATACAAAGGTTCATTATACCTTTTTGCTTTAGAACCCTAAAAAGTGAGTTGGTATGGACATGTCAACGGAAGAGTGTAGATCATTACTTATAGAAAATTTTTAATATGAAAGTTAACATTCATCAGTAAAGGGAGAGAACGACCAATGAAAAGTTGGGTGGGCTGTGTGTATAATAATATGCATAAAAGGTGAGTAAACTCAGATATGACGTCTGTTAGGGACCGACGGAAGGTGATGATATAATGCACCGACCCTAAATAATGGGATAAAAGTAAGGTAATGAATAAACCCTAAAAACATCATTACAATGATTGTAATTCTAACAATCCGACAATAGCAGTTATGACAATATGTTTTGATTGAAAAATTGCTTCCTCTTGTTTGATGACGCTTACAAACTTGATTGTTGATTATCATTACAAATGCGTCATTCATTACTTAATTTGGATAATTGTGCTACAAAATCAATTAATTTGTATACAGAACGCCGCCGTCGTGCCCTTTTCTTTTACGAAACATGCTAATATGTACTAGTTTTTTGTCTTATTAAGCAATGAACTTTCATTGCTTAATAAAACAAAAATACCATAAATTTACGATAACTGATTTTTAATGATACTTGAAACCTCTATCTATTTACTTCAGTATTCCTGTGTTTATAGTGCCTATCGAATACCTAGCACTGACTTAAATAGAACATTTAAGAAATCTGCAGAATATATAGAATATTATTTTATTTAACTGGAAACAACTGATATCCTATCTGGTGAAAAGTGGCATCCTTAGCCTATATACTTGAACCTCGAACTTAAATAGTCAAATATACCCGTGATACATCTCATGTGTTGATATTCCTGAGAAGTATGGAGTCGAGCATATGCCTATTTCGTGATATTTCTTTCTGAACATTTTTTAATGTATTTATCTGTAAGCGTTTAATTTGTGAAATTCATCAAATTTCCGTTCTAAAAACACTGGCCATTTCGGCTACGGTAGGTAAAGTGATAAGAATATTAACAATTATAAGAGACAGAAAGGTTCTATGTGAATAAATTAGTTTGAGTTTAACTTCTTATCAGATTACAAATGTTTCTAAAATTAATATTAAGCCTTCTATTTTTAAAAACTTAACGTTGAACCTAATTTAAATATACATTATCAATTTTGTATATTTTTATTATTCTAAGTATAAATTATTGTAATGAAAATTTGTTCTGAAATCTGTTCTTTGTTTATTAGTAAAAGTTACATTTCTGGAAAGGGTACAGAGTTAACACATATTTTATATTACCTACATGTGAAATAAAACAAAACACGATGAAGTATAATGCATAACGCTAGGCTGTTTTATTAAACGAAAATACGCGGAGCATGAAACTGTTTTGGTTTCCTGAAATTAATTCATGCATTACGACATTAGAAGTTTGGGGTAACAGCTAGTATTATAAATGCGTGTGTCTGTCTGTCTGTTATTTATTGAGGTTACGATTGATTGAGTTACGAGAACATACATGGGTTATATTTTATCTCAAAAAGCGAAGTGGCGGTTAAAATCTAGTATGATATACATAACAATAATATAGAGTATCACTTAAAATTTTGGTGTATTTAATTTGAAGGTTAGCAAAGTTTATTATTGGCTAGACATTATTAGTTCTGTAGTTGCAAACGTATGATTACATTCACATTAGCAGCAATCATTAACTCATAAATTAATAGGTTTGTTACTCAATTTTTTACAATCAAAACATTAGTTTGATTGTCCATTATAATATTCACTGAATTTGTTTTGGTAATTTATAGACGGCTTATTTTTTTTAACTGGAATTGCAATCAAGCAAACGCCCATTTACCACCAGATACAAATGGAAACCATCGCCTGGATACTTGGAATAGCGTCTTAGTCATCATAACATCATTTCTAGATTGTACTACCTAGTGCGTTGCTATTCTGGAGAACTAAGATATTATGTCAAAAATATGTTAGGTTTACATTGTAAACAACATATTGGAAACAGACTTAATTTTTTTTTTAATTTTTATAATCTGTACAGTTTTAATGAAGATATCGAAGAACACGTATATACGAGCAGTAACGACAATTTGAAAGACTGCCATTTGACAAAACATAATAAAGAGAAAGAAATCTATATTTTTTTGTTGAATTGAGAGATTTCTATCAAAATGGTGTATTGATAAGATGCAGCTTGTATATTTAAATAGATTTTGCTATAACACCCACTGACTAACCTGTTTATGAAGCTAACTGTAAGTAAGGAACATAGCATTTTACAGACTTGTATTCGAACACAGATAATGTTGCACTACAAAATAATAGGATTAGTCATTTATTAACGTACTTACTATTCACTGCACAGCTGTGACACCAACGGATCGTTTAGTAATCATTTCCATAACATTTACAGCCACCAATATTCCTTGACCTTCCAGAAAGGCCATGCCAGTTCAACCACTAACACACACTTCCGCGAAGAAATATCTAGCAACTCGTTAACTATCATTCGATACTTAAACTCGCCGTGCTAAAACGTCGGCTCCAAGAAAAAGTTTTGTAAACAGTGTTCTTTTCAAAACTTCGTTCCGTACCGCATCTGATTCGTTATCGATTCGATTTGTTTTTGTCGGTCTTTTTTTCGTTTTTATTGCCGCCGATATCACGCGCAGCGGCGGCGTGCGTGCTACCGCGGCGATGCAGCAGTTTGCAATAAACCTCCGAGTACTTACATACAGGAATCGAATGATCGGCCGCGGATATAGATATTGGAAGAAAAGCGGACTATGATATGTCGTGATAGTAACGGAAAATATCGAACCGGAAAATACATCGTTAACAATGGTCTATTGTGGGCACGTACTAGCCATGTGTTCAGGTACCTAATCATATCACATTGTTAAGATGTCAAGAGTTTAATATAAGCTTTTTAATGCCGCTTCCGTAGTATTGACATATATTCTGTAATATGAATGAAATTAGAAAAAAATTATATAATTTTCAGATACTATTAAAATATTGTTTGAAAATATACTTAGAATTAATTTCTCTAGCACATATACAATAATAGATTATTTGAAAGATTTTACTATATATATTACTTAAATGTTAATATTTCATTATAATGTATTACGAAATACATAAAATATATTATTTTAAAGTAATATAGGTATATCGATATTATAAAATCTTTCAAATAACCAATTCTTAGTCGTCGGGTATAGTAGTACCCTTATAAAACTGACAGGTTTATCATTATGTAAAGAGACTTGTCCTGAATAACTGGTCTATAAAGGTACAGTGTAAACGGCTCGGGCTAGAAACATGACATTTTTAATATAAGTAGTTTGCTTTTATGCCGCAGGTACACATACATTGAGGACTTAAATTCCGAGGAAACACGCTGTGCAAAGTCAAGGTAAACAGCTGGTTTTGTATATCATTGTATTCAGTACAAATATAATTTTATGTTGTTTACTAAAACTATTAATTATAAAGAAACGAATACCATTTTTAATGATAACACTGTCATGTACGGGAAGTTACATATATTTTTGCGCAATGCGAGAAATAGTAAAGTGTGGAAAATAAGTTTAAAGCAGACCAATAATAGGTTTATTAATTGTAAATTTGAATGTCATTCAATTTGTGTGTACTATGTAATATTATACACAATGTAAGTTCGGTACGGGGTCAGTCATAAAGAGTATATAGAGTCACGAGCAATGATGATACGTAAACACTTTTGTACTATGTCACAAAATAAATATGTTGTAGTAATGTGGAATAATCTTTGGAAATATTGAAAATATTACTGTGACAAAGTAGTAACTTGAGTACACATTGCCAGGGGTAGACTGTAAAAAGTTATCTGTATGGACTGAGATGTAGTATAACCTATTTTTTTGTTATTATTATTGTACCTAACCCTCAAACATATTGTATTATTACTGTCATATCTTGAGACCATAATATATCTGATAAAACAAGCAGCTTGGCGTCAAAAATCCACGTAGACAACTTTGTGCAAAGTCTACTTCAGATATTACTAACAACTCTACCAGACATCTAAGGAACATAGGCATTTTTTTTATAAACTTTGTGAAATACATACCCCAAGATCTGATCACTCACAAAGGTCACTTTTTTTCGCTGTCCTTTACAGCTTCCCCGAACGATAGGGAGCGAGTGGCACGTGGCAGATGGCACTTCTAACTCGCGGAAGGACTTATGTAGCGGCTGAAGGCCAGCTCCTGCCCGAGGGATACGACTTTAGATTGAGGGCAACGCCAGGTTATAACCTCGGCTAGACTGTTTGAAGCCGATCAGCAAGTGGTAGCAGTGTCTCTGGAGTTACAAATAATAATGTGCTATTGCTATTATTTACAATTAAACAGACAGTTTGCTTGATTGCCAGATCAGTCATTATTATTGACAATTGTGTACATTATAAAATATATCTACATATCTGTATGAGTAAATAAAAATAATTATTCGATTTTAAACTTTATACTTGTACATAATTAGATACATTTTAAATGTATAAGAGCTACAATGTGTCATACTGTACAAATTATATATTTCTAATATCTGCACAAGTGTCTGGTAATTTTAAGTATATACATACTTACCTACTTATTAAGACAAAACGTATATATGTTGTATGAACTATATCTTTCAATTATAAAATGTAGGGGCAATCGATAAAATACGTCACAAGTATTTTATGGATATTATGATATTAAAACTTGAGCAAACATTTTTATTTCCCTTTTACGACGACGACGGAATATGAAAGTATGAAATTTCGCACACTTGTAGTAAATATGGAGAAGGAATGCAGAATGTTAATTTTGTTTAATTATGCATAAAAAATATATTAAATCAATAAAAACTACTATTATTTGACACACACGCATATAAGTATAGTCTTTGACAATAATTGACCCTGAAGTAGGTGTCATGGCATAGACTCTAATTCAGTTTTCCTCATCTCACACCAAAACAATTGGAATGGTCTGGTATCACATTGCATTCTTACTATGTCACCACATAGAGTAATATTACCACTAATAGTAAATATTCTATGTTTTTTCCTAAAAAATGATTATATGTATTGTAATAAATTTCCTCCTTCGCATTAATAAGTGTTTCCTATTATGAGTATAATAATTTTTAATTCTTATTTCGGTTATGTAATCAAGGATGTGTATTACTCATTGTGTTTTTAAGATTGCTTACTTTGGGAGCAGATGGCACTGTGTTTCTCCAGTTCTTTATTTATGTATTACTAGCTAATACATAAATAAAAAACTGTATATACCAGGGATGTTAGGGAGCTCCGTAACCGTAACCGAAACTATCGGATATCCGATATAAAAAAATATTCGTAACCATAACCGAATCCGAAATATAAGTTTCGGACAATATCGGATAGGGGCGGAGCCTGATTGAGACACGTTATGTAACCATTTTGTTAGCTGTTTGTATTTTACTTTTGAAATTCCTTAAAAAACTAATATCCGTAAACGAAATTATCGGAAACTAACGGATAATCCGAAATAATTTCAAATCCGCATCCGTATCCGTATTCAGTATAATAATCATTCCTATATCCGAATCTTATCCGTATCCGAAATTTCATATCCATAACATCCCTGCAATATACGGGTTTTCACCCACATGAAATTTATAGCTTATGTGTTATTGTAATGTAAAGGCTATTTTACTGTAAAGTTTCATCAAAATCCGTTCAGTAGTTTTTGCGTGAGTTATAAACATCCATCCATCCGTCTATCCATCCACACTCAAACTTTCGCGTTTATCATATTAGTAAGACTATAGATAAAAAAAAGTGTATTTTTCTATATCCCATCACAAAAACCCATGTCATCAAAAATACTTATCACCGTGACTTGGAATCTTAATAAATCATTTAAATCTTACATTTGTTTAAACTGTAAAAAATGCATAACAATAAAACCATCATTTGCAAGGAATAATTTATTAATTCTTGCAAATGATGATACCTAATTCAAAATTTCAATTCATATTTTTTCCTTATTGTAAAAACCAGAATCATTAATTATCGATATGAAAAGAATAAAAAATCGTACTTTGGTAGCTTTTAAAATCATCTTTGTATTCTCAGATGACTCCAATATTGAGATTCTTATTGAGACTATATATTTGTGTATATTTTAAACCTTGTGTGCATAGAAACGAATTATTCACATAATATAACTCCTGCCTTTACCAGGCAGGAGATATATTATATTATAGCAATTAATATTATTTGTATTTATTTCACTAATTTGTTATAAGTAGCAAATAATCAATAATAAAACAAAATCCGACTAAGGTATGTAGACTTTGCTCCCGCCATGTTGTACTTAAAATATACCCAGCGAAATGCAAACATGCCAACTGTTGTGTTTAAAATGTTTAAAATTTTTTTATGGATTATAATGTAATGTTGGTAACAGTTTACCCTGGCGGGCCACCAGTGGAGGGTGATAAGATGAGCATGAGGTTAGTTAGCCCATCGTAGCAAATTCACCAGGAATTTATACCATGATTTCCAGGGGGTACCACGCGGTGGTCAACCCAAGATGGTACATTGCTAGCAATAGTTATTAATCCCTCCTGATAGCTATATTTAACAATGTCTCTAACTACCCAATTTACGATATCAGTCGTGATGGTTTATAATAATTACGAAGGTTTTGATTAAAAAACCTTCGTAATTATTATAATTTACATTTCAATATTCGAACTTGTACATGATTAGAGGCACCAGATAAACAGGAAATAGAAATACAAATTCTTGTATACTTGAATGATATTCTAAGAATTTCAAATCGAATTACAGAATGGAGAATATTTAATTGCGTCATAGATGTGAGAAACCTGCTAGGAGCGTGCCAACTGCCATGTCATGCCATTCCTTGTAGGGTCGGGTCCTTATAAAAGTTAAAAAAAAAGACAAATGGCAAGGATTAGTTATATATTAATGTTCCAAATTAATAATAATAACCCAGGACAGATGTCCTTAGCGCTAATCAGCCTCAAACCACAGATAATACAATATTACAGACTCAAACTATTAGAGCTTGTACTATGGATACTAAACAAGCATCTCGGTTGTTTAGTACAACCGAAATACTTTGATATTCATAAGCGGCTAAAATGTACTACATGAGTAAGTAATTTTTGAATTTGTAAATACAGACAATGCATAAAATGTCCAGACAAATACAAATAATCATGCACATAAATACAAATCATTAGCTATCTGCGAGTGAAAGTCCCGTCAAAATCGGCCCAGTTGTTTTAGAGATTAGCAAGAACAAACAGACACAATTTTTTTTAAATATATTTCTATGTTAGTACTGTACGTTCATATGCACTTAGTGAAAAGCTGTTAATTTGACAAACAGACACTTCGATTTTATTTATTTGTACAGATAAAGCAGGTGAAGTCGCTAGTAACAGCTTAGTAGTTTATATTTAGATTATGTTTAATAATTATAAATAATGCCCTTGTACTATGCATAAAATGAATCGATCAACGCAATGAATGGAATTATAATGTGAACAAATAATAAACAATAATCTTGTGGTTATAACCACAATTAAATATTATTTCTTAAGATCATTCTATCTATATCTTTTATTTTAAGTTCATTGATTATCAACATTCATTGATTTACAATAACAAATCAATATCTGTTAGTAATTTGCTTTATTGCGAGTGCCTCCCATCACCGAAGTGATAGTTAGAAATTTTATATCGATGCGTAAAGTTTTTAGCGATTTCATTTCAGATTCAGAATTCATGACGTATTCCGTCTCTATGCTGATGTAGTAAATTTTTAAAACATTGCGTTCGGACTCTTCAGTTTAAATATAACATTTTCATTCACTGCATTAATTATTTTTCTATCTTTCAGGAACAAAAATGGAAGAACACGAAGATTGTACTAGCAAATATTTTCAAAATCAAGACTTATCGTCAAAAAGTCCCAGTAAAGTTTTGCTGTCACCATCAAAGAGTTTTGAGTCTTCACCAAATATAAGTCAGAGTACCGATTCAGACGCGGATTTTTTAAGCCTCTCGCAACTGGACATAGAGGAACAAGAGCCATTAGAAATTAACCCGTTTTTTAATATTACACCTAGGCATATGCCCTTATCACCTCATTACGTGTTCGAGGAAGAGTTTTCGTCGAACCCCTGGGCGATGCTAGTGGCAACGATCTTCTTAACCAAAACATCAGGTAAAACTGCAAGACCTTACATGAAATCTTTTTTCGAGGATTATCCAACGCCTTACCACGTATTAAATGACAATCCCGCTTCTTTAGAGAGATTTTTCGAGAATTTAGGACTAAAGAAAAGAAGTCGAATGATATGGAAGTTAAGCTTTCAATTTGTGTCTTCAAAATGGCGTCGTGCTAGTGATCTGTGTGGTGTTGGAAAGTATGGAGAAGATGCATATAGGATATTTTGCTTGGGTCACACAGATTTGGACCCTGATGATAGATATTTAAAGTTGTATTTAAATTGGTTAAGAGGCTGTACAGAATTTCCGGAACTACACAGTGTATTAGACAGCGATTTCGTGATTGAAGATCCAGTATCGAAATATTACAGGTTGACATTGAGAGATTGATAGTATACTAGCTGTCCGGGCAAACGTTGTTTTGCCTTAAAATAAAAAAAAAATTAGGGGTGGACTACCCCAAAAATTTGGGGGGATGAAAAATAGATGTTGGCCGATTCCCAGACCTACTCAATACGCTAACAAAATTTCATGAGAATCGGTCAAGCCGTTTCGGAGGAGTATGGGAACGAAAACTGTGACACGAGATTTTATATATAAGATATAATTCAGGAAATTGTTACTAATGGGGACTAGAGGCGGTTTGCCTGCACTAGTACCCCGATTGCGTATATATACCGCACGCATGTAAAATTACATTATCTATAAAGACCTTATAATACAAAACAATGTAATTAAATTCATTATAACAATGACAACCCTAGACAGTTCACGCAGCATCTTCTAGTTCCAAGATAAGCATGGTTTGCATTCTGGGTACAAAACAACTGATAGAATTAAATTAAATGTATATTTTTTGTAAATATGTACATACTGTATATAAAACACCCAGATAGTTTCAAACAGTCATACTCATGATAATCAGATCATTTTAAATGTGTACAGTGCCCAAGACAATCGAAAGTAAGTAGTGTGCTAACCGCTAGAGCAACGTTGATGAAAATATTATATTTGAAAAAAATATATTTAATGTCCTAGGAACGTCCTATAACTAACTCATGGAAGGACATCTGAACAAGAATTAAATTACTGCTTTTAGCTATCTATGTATACGTCTTCCTAACTTCGTGCTGCAACTGTTTCAAAAGGGTGCTATATAATAAAAAATGTTACAAAAAATGTCTATTATTACAATCGTATTTCTGTGGTATTATTCAGTAAGTTTTTATTTATATAGCATAGGGGACTAACGAGCATGCGGCTCACCTGATGGTAAGTGATTACCACCGCCCATGAGCACCTGCAACACCAGGAGAATTACAAGTGCGTTGTCGGTCTTTTAAAAAGGAATAAGCTTTTGTATAGTAAATATTCTTAAAAAAAAGCCAAATTCTACACCTACATTTTACAGTTATTCAGTTTAAGAGTAACAAAAGTAACTAGTATAGTATGCTTATACTCAAATGTTTTATCCTATACTGACTATTTTTGGTTGACGAAATGAAGTAACTGTGTAATATAAAGTCAATTATAAACGCCTTAGAAAAAGTTTAGAGCAAAACATCTTGAAAGAATCTTCAACACTACTGGAAAGTAATGATGGATATGAATTTTTTGAATTGACTACCATACACATAAATCTTATAACTAGATTATGAGTTATTATTCGGAACATATTGCAATTTACTGTTTCCTATGTACTGTTTGAGAAACCGTATAGTTCGGTTTAAGTGAAACAATTAAATATTATATTTTGAATATGGCTCACAATCAGTTTGCTACTATAAAATCAAATACATTTTAAATTAAAGTTGTTATTCAGGAAACAATATTCTCGATGTTCATTAACGTAAATATCAAGCAAGGAGGATATATATACTTACGGTTGGAACAGAGAGCATTATGTCATACAAAAATGATAGAAATAAAATACAATCAAATTTAGGGCGTTTTTTACGTGAGCCGCATGTGAATATCTTATAAGAACGATATTATCAATAAGGAATGTAGGCAATTATATTTATAAGGTATAAAAACTAAAAATATGATACGGTTTTTGTTGATTTAATTAATATCATTAATATTATAACTGAGAAACAACATATCAAAATGCCATTCAAGTTACCTTTCCTAGCGCCATCTACCAATCTACGGCAGAAGTATTTAGTCAATATGTACCATTACCCGAGTACTGTGTTTTATACAGTGATGTCAGATTGAGGATTTACTCACCAAAGAGGAAAATTTGAGACGATAGGGGGAAACTTAGAAAATTAGAATAGAGTGCATCCTTTTGAATACAATAATTGGGTGGACGGAAACTTACTAGCAAAAAAACAATAATACAGTAGTGGAAAGCTAAAGTAATATAAATTATTTTTTTCAGCAATTATCACTAATACAGACTTTAATGGTAGGTTTTTCTTTAAATCCTGATTTTGGAGAAAAATTTATTAAACACTGGAAAAAAACAGACTGCCATCTGGTAACACTGTGTTCAAAATGCATACTGACGTGACATAATATGATACGGCAATGCGATGCAAGTACTGAACTTGTCCTAACATGTAAATGTTTTGTGTTTTGACAAAATAATTTATAATACTCTATTAAAGTTAAAAATGTTTACTTGTATCAAAGATTCTCATAGTTAGGAGTAGGTACACGTATTTTTATATACTGACAATGACGAAATGTTAAAAAAAATGTCTTTCGATATACCATTTAAGGTCTTTTATTTAAAAAGAAATACTAAACAATAATAGATAGTACTTGGCTAAATAAATCAATTTAATGTTATATTAATCACAGCCCATTACATTCTTTTTATGTGTTAAGTTACACTATATACGTTGAGAAACTCTGACATATCTACGAGAATAGTGTTGTGACTGTACAAGTACTATGTCAAAAAAAAACAGGTCATTCTATCTTCATATTGACATAATTTATTAGGAGTCTATGATCTTGAAATTAAATGAAACGTTTATTATATTTAATCGAATTAGGTGTTATTTTGCGGAAATCCATTTCACTACTTGATGGATTATATTATTATTGTAGCGGAATTAAACAAAATAATATAAATCTATCAAGTAGTGAAACGTTTATTGGTCAGGAATCGGTAGGTGTATATTACATATTCTGCTTTATGTGAAGACACGCAAAATTTTACATGAATGAATATGTAATTACATAATTCTAGGATATTATTATCATATATGATTGTAAATTATGATTGAAAGCCCTTTTTAATATTCATTCATTCGTATTTTTACAGGCTGGAGTTGGCCTTTAGCCGCTCTTTAGTTTGGAATTCCATCTATACTAGTCCCCTACTATCCAGTGAAGCTATAAAGACCACATGCGGCCAACAACATTAGAGTAGTCCTAAAAAATATATTTTATCATTATACTTATATAATCAAATTCTTACCTCATTTTACAGAAACAGAAGCTAGATTCTAGAATAAGTGGGAAAGACATATTATTTTTATTAAATTTATTTTATTTTGTAAAACAGAATAATGTAATATACCTACTATACAAATATTATCGAAAAATCCTAAATATTTATAGGTGGTAGGTATAGATAGTAGAAATATTTGCAAATCTTACAGGAATATGAAGAGTTATGTTTCTAAATGGCATAATTTATAGACATCATGATATTAAAAGGATAGGATGGGTACAATTTACGCGGACAAGTTGTGGCAGACAGACTATATAAAATATTTCGATAAATGTAAACGTTACTAAAGATATTGATGACCTCGGTGGTCTAGCAGTTTAGCACACCGTCTTACTTCCGATGTTCACGGGTTCGAGTCCTCGCACGGTACAAGCATTTGTATTTATAAATATGACGTTTGTATCGGTCTGAGTGTTTTCTATTTACATATACTATGTATATATTTACAAAAATATTATCTGTCTTTATATTTTTATCTTGTACCCATAACACAAGCTCTGCTTAGCTTGGGACTAAATGGTGTTGGAAAGTTGTCTTGAGATATCATTATTATTATTATTCAGTATACTTAAATTATTTTTATGGAAATTCGTTTAACGTTTCACATTGAATTATACCATAAAAATCTACCATACACCGATATACCTTATACTACATTATCATATATTCTTATACATGATAATGTAGTATAAGATCTATCGGTATATATATTATTCTAATGAAGATATTATTATCTCTGAACAAGTTACGACTCTCGTGTTAACGATGTACTTACCTACCTAAGCGCAATCTTTGATAATGTCAAATCAGCACATGCGCGCAACCAAGTGTTCTCAAGGTGAGGCGGAGGGACAGTACAAGCAAGGAAAACGGAAAATGAATTACAAAGTTGGTCAGGAAATTTAAGCAAATATAATTAAGACCCAAAGTTTTTTTGTCGGACGATTTCGAAAATACGTTATATTTATTTTGGAGTTATTATTACGTTATATCACATAAGTATCTGTTTGTTAGTTGTTTATACCACATTTCAAGTATTGTTACAAATATTCTTAACAAAATCAGATTATATAGGTCTAAAAATACCATATAAAAATATTAACTGGACAAGCTTACTACATTCTATGAAACGGTAACGTTAAAAATTAATTTCCTGCCAGTTAATCTCAAAATAACACAAATATTGTTCTCAGCTTGTAATATTAATACCTACGTATACCCTATTTACTTTTGTAAACGTGAATTTGACTGACAGTTTTTCTTTTGTTTGACGTTTACACGTGGTATATATAATCACAGAAAGGACCATAGTTCCATCGGTTACATTGTAGAATATTTATTGATATTATATTGTAATTTAAAGTTTCAGTCATGTTGGAAGAATAGTCATGTTTACGGTATTTCATAAAATAATATATACTTTTTAGTACTTGAAAATTGTATTCACGATGTTTTAAATACTCCCGCCATGAGCGTTGATAAATAAACCAATAGGGCGTTATGGGTTATACCAACATAAAAGTTTCACTCGGAGTGATTGCTCGCCGCAACGTTGGCAGCAGTGTCTACTGTTGCAAATGGTGGATTGCGTTACTTTTTCTCGTGCTCTGTGTAAAATATTTACGTAAAATAGTGTTAATTTCGTGGTGCAGTGTTTCTGACTAACGTAAACATGTCGGAAACACTGCCAAATAACAAAAAACAAGTTGCAAGGCAGCTGGTAAGTGTTTATTGTTAATTTTTTACGTATTTAGTCCCGGGTGACGCCATGGTGGCTTTATCTGGGATCACGTAAACATGAAATGGTGCATCGCTGCATCGTGTATCGATTTACGAAAGTTACTATAATATGATGAAAATATATTTGGAGACAAGGTTGTTAGTAGTGATGATCGTCATTGAGGGTCATCGGACTCTGTTTTTTAGCGATCACGCTGCTCGCGACCGAGTTTAAAACGCGGCGGCCGTATGCATTCGCGCATGCGAGAAGGTGTTAAAATCTATAATAGTTTTTGAAATCGTAGCATTGCGATGTATTGAAAATTGTATGAGCCGGATAGGTGCGCACTGTAGAGAAGTCGGTGGACATATTGGGCTTCTGGTAGGGACGAAGGCGTATCCCTCCCGCGGCCGGCTGTGAAGACAGGCTGCTGCGAGCGTGCGCCGTGTGACCACACGTCGAGCGCGCTCCTAATCTACTTTATTACTCGACTAATTTTCCGTCACACCGAACTACTACACGATGTTGAGACCGAAATGTCTAAATACACTGATTATACATCAACATGTATCCTCAATTTTGAGGGCTCTTTGTTTCGATCCACAAAGGGAAACAGTCGTTTTAAAGTTTTATTGTAATACTTAAGTTATACCTACTATTTGTTTGCTTGTATTTCTTTGGTCTTGACTTACGTTAAAAAATTGCCAGTGCCACTATAAAGCAGTATATAATCATATTTAATGTACGACAAAATAGGACAGAATATTTATTGTTGAACATAGAGTCACCTCTTGAAAAATTTCAGATGTGAAAGTGCTGTGCACACTTTTTTATTTATTTCTTCATAAATCGTTTAGGAAATGAAAACTACACTACTAAGCAATCTGATCATGATAAAATATTTAGGTAGGTGCCTACCTACTTAGACAGTAATCAATATATAGTTAAAGATTAGATATTTTAACAATAACTATAAATTTTTGTAACAATTTCTAAAATCTATATCTAAAGTTTTCTTATATTTGGATATTGGATTGATCTCACTATTCTAAATAAGTAATAATAATACTGTATTATTTATTATATAAATTATAAACATAATGCTTTCTATACTATAACCTAGTAGAGTTTTCATTATAACCTATTATATCAATGAAAACATAATTTTTGGTATACAGAGAGAACGCAAACAACGGAAACTCTACTCTGATGAATGGGCTCTTGGGGATGATGAAGCCGAAGGTGGTCGTGGGTTCTCCCTCGCAGATAAATTGGAGAGTCCTAGGTTTGAGCATGCTGGCTCTGTGATTGAAATGCATGGCTCTGAAATTACAGTGTCATATATGCAAAAGAATGGATTCACTACTCCCCTATTGTTTAAAGAAAAAACAGGATTGGGACTGAGGTATGTATAATTTGTTGTTTTTTTTTATATAATGAAAAATATAAGTATCTTTATCCTTAACTCAATTTATAATGTCTATATATATATATTGCTAATGTCATTATTTATTGGAGAATATTTATATTATTCTTGTAGAAAGTTTACACAATAGCAAATAACATTATGTTACCTATATTATCAGTTCACATAACAAATAGATATGAATATTTAAAATTAACCACTTTATTTAAAATTAATTATTTACATATTGGTAAACTTTAGTTATTTAAATGTCTATTTAATTCTAATATATTACAAAATTACAAAATGAGAACTAAAATATTTGAGTTGAGAATAATTGAAATTAATAAAAAGCTCAGAAGGGTAGGAGTGTTAGTAAATATTTATTCATAATAACATTGAATGGAACGTCATTTTGACGACGGCCCGCAAAAATATTCTTAGCATAAAACTTGTAAATACGATAATTTGTTATAACGTGCAACCAAAAACGCAAACGTATTCATATTACGACGCCTAATATAAGCGAACCGGCTTCTGTAGCGCAAACGCTACCATTAATAAGTCTTATAAAACTAAACCCTAAAACAAAAAATATATATTTATTATTGTAAAATGGTCCAGAGATGAAACTACAAACCTCAAACGGTTGTTACAATCGTGGTTTTTATTTACTTAGTAACTATTTTAAAAAACAAAGTGTATTTTTTTAAACAGTTCTAAATTAATAATTCCTGGGCCATTCTCGGTCTGTGGATCATAGATTACGTCACACCTTTTTAGTATCACCCTTATAATGGTGATCATTACTAACTTGCCCATATTTACTCGAGCTTATTTTAATGAACATAGCTGGCGGCGAGCCTACCGATGTCTTTCATATTAATTCAATATGTTAACGATGTTTATCTTTACGCGGAAATTAAAATTTATTTTGCGGCAACTGAGTTCTATTAGTGTTAAACATTAATGGTCACGACCCTTTAATGAACTCATCAGTTATCAGTCATAGAAGTACGTATTTAATTTACTTAAATGACATAACATGTACAGTTGGCTTAGAATATTGCGATATGTTTTCGAAATAATATAAAAAGAATTTGTATTTTATATTTCATGTTTAGTACTTAGAAAATGTGTTCAGTTTAAAAATAATAAAGGTGTCTCCAATCTGTCATGATGAAATATTGTTTTTGTTACGCAATAGATAATGCAATATCTAGTGATGGTATACTATATAGTTTTTTGAGAATAGCAATGCAAGGATTATTTTCTTCACAAAATCCACACTAATATTATAAATTCAAAAGTGTGTCTGTTTGATCTTGATAAATTGCATCACCAGAATCAACGAAGTTGGTAAGTAAATGGTGTCGCACATGTTACATTAGTGGGGCACCAGGGGGGATGATAAAATGAGAATAAGGTCAGTTAGCCCATTGTGGTAATTTCACCATGAGTTTATCACAATGGTTTCCAGGGTGAACCGCTTGGAGGTCAACCTGATATGGTACATTGCTAGAAATGGAGTTATTAATGTACATTACTAACAATCCCCTAATATACGTTTTTTTGCCTCAGCTATTACTAGTGCTTTAATAAAATGATTGAAAGTATATTGTTCAGTTAAAAATTCAAACCCAAGCAATTTCGCCTTATTTACGTGATGTATGCTGGAGAGGGATCAGTAAAGGATGATTAGACGATTAGCAAAACATTACTATTTCTTCAGCATTTAACCATGGTTTCCGGGAGTATTTCGTGGAGGTCGACCGGACGAACTGGATAGTCTAGATACTATTAGCAGTAAGATTACAACTTACGACCCTTTTCTACCACAAAATATACACTCGTAGATTATAGGATGATGATTCATTTAACATGATGTCAAATTTAAAAAGTATCGTTTTATTCTACTTTAGATACATAGTCATAGTGCACGGTATGAGCATATATTTACATCCAAAAAACATACTGTGAGACAGTTCTATGTCGTACTTGCAACTTGGGATGTGACACTCTGTATAAAAAGTCGATTATTTTTGTATATTAATCGATTTTACCATATTTATATTTATTTAATATAATTCGATTTTTCCATATCCTAATGTTTAGGCCCCATGGCTTGTACTTACTATATTCTTTTGGGTACCAAATTTGTCTTGTTTTGTTTAACCAACTGGATGTAAAATTCATCTTAAGTAAAAACGATTATTAATTAATTGTTTTTTAGGAATATTAAAATCGATTATTTTTCACATTCTTACTCGTAACAGTGAATTTTTATATTGTGATTTAACATATTGTAGATGTCAACATTCCATAGTTGTGTAATACAACTTTTGTTTCTCTCCAGCTAAATAATAACGGTTTTAATTAAAATTTCACGATTTCAGGGACAATGCTAAGTTAGTAATTTACTTATAGCTTATGATCAAAGTTTTGGGTCTTTGTCATCTTGAATGCGTAATTTATATTTTATACATAGGTACCTTTTAATAATAATACTTTTTTTACTGTTTGATATTGGATTAGTGCTTCCCGGTTGTGTTAATGGTATACGGTGGTGGGACACCGTTGGAGGATGATATGATAAGCATGAAATTAAGTCAGTCAGCTTATTGTGGCTAAAATACCAGAATTTAATCACGATGATTTCCAAGGTGGACCGCGTGGCAGGTCAAACTGAAATGATTAACTACTAGAATAGTGATATTTAATATGATTATATTATCTGACATATCCGTTATTTCGACAGTGTTACGAAAGTTTTGGCTACGCTTCGACATTTGCTTAGATTTTAATAGAAAAAAATTGCCTAAGCCCTAGTAAATCTCTCGCTTCAAGAGATTCCAATTCCAGAATTTTTCAACTGTTTCTGTTATAATAATATAATTTCTATTCTATTTTATTCTATTCTTTTCAATAATTCAACACCATAACAGTTACTGAAAACACTATTTATTAAAAATACAAAGTTACTTTCAGTTTCTTTCATTATACATATTTAATAATCTTGTAATTTATATCTTTTCCTTCTTTGTATTATTAAGCAATTAAATATTTAATACACTACTATGATATGATTTCAGCAATAAAGTTTCACTCAATAACTCCGAGTCAAGTTCAAGTGACGAATTTTATCACTTTAACTTGACTAGAAGTTACTAATAGAAACTTTTAGCTATACATTCCCTGTCGTACTAAAAGTAATTTATATACATACATTTATTTAAATATTTTCCAAGTGTTATATAAACAAACAAATTACCTGTACATATTGCCTTGTCCGTAGATTACGACGTGATATGTGATATGATACATGAGCAGACTGTTGTGATATGAGAGTGTATGTCATATACTGTATATATCATAGAAGTTAGTAATAGGAAGTAACCTTTTAAACTGTCTATATATATATGAATATATCTTAACAGAATCAATATTAGGAGATTTATGCAATTTAATATTTGTAAAATTTTAAATTGGTAACTGATATTTTTAACGATATTGATTAGATTTTTCAATCAATAAAACATGTTGCACTCTTGCTTAAGTTTGTTACCACCACGGTCAAACTTTGTGTTTCAATATTTTTATATGTTAAGAGGAAGGTTTAGGTTCATAAATCGTTATAGTTTTGTGCAAATTATATATAAGTAAATCGCTCGGGGTGAAACCTGTTCGAATCGCTAGTCTTGTATAATTCTTATTCATATTAGTAGGTAATCAAGGAAATAATAATTATAAAACCGCGAAAAAGTTATGATAATACGATTTGTGAAAGAATCATGTGGTTTGCTGATATAAGGTATACATACATGCATATACAAGTCTACTCACAATGTACCTATGTGTCGTTCAATCAGACCAGTAAATTAAATTATTTAATATATATTTTATTTCTATGACCTGAATCCGGACTGTTAAGTTAGAGTCAGAGAAAGAACAATAATTTAGGCAATTTTAATAAAGAAATCGTACTCTTATAAATTTTAACCAAATAACAGTTATATTTGCGAAAACCGCACCCAAATCTGAGATTTCTGATTTTCCATGTACAGACGATTACTTCTATTTTTATTATAGATGATCAAACCTTATTATATATAGAAGCAGACAAATACACAAATATTAACGCATATACTCATATATGGTCCTACCATATTGTCTGCATTCCCTACTACAGGCTCTGTTTATTATACATATTATATATAAAGATAAGGATTTTAATTTATTTCTTTAAAAAGTTTTGTAATACCAAAACGCTTACATTGTTCGTTAATGTCTTTAAAGATCTATGTTTTTATCTATCTATTACAAAGTAAAAACATGAGAAAACGAATTTTTAATATTTATTTACACGAAATTAACAATTATTAAGGTATTTTTTCAGTTTTTATGCATTCTTTTGGAGAAACGGAGTTTGATTTTGAAAAGAGTGCTAATAGCAATAAGTCCACCCATTGTACAAAATTTCAATACAGTTTAAATGAATAAATATGTTCTTCTATTTTATTAAAATATTTACATATAATATATTACTAGCTGTCCCGGCAAACGGTGTTTTGTTATATTTTAAGTACTAATATCGCTATACAACCAACCTCTATTTTTTAAATAGAGGTTGGTTGTAGAAGGGTGAAAATTTGGGGTTGTATGTATTTTTTAATGCCACATTATAAAAAATAAAAAATATACTCAAAAAATAAATAAAAAATGTTAGGGGTGGAAAACCCTTATCACTTAGGGATATGAATAATAGATAGTAGTCGAATCTCAGACTTACTGAATATGCATATAAAATTTCATAAAAAGTTTCGGTAAATCTGTATACACTGACACGAGAATATTATATATATCACCTCCGTCACATACGCTGTGCGTACACCCGAAAATAAGGACTAGTTATTTATAAAAACAAAGACAATCAGTATGAAATATATATTAATTTCATATTGATACATTTAGGTAATATGTATGTGTTAGTCAAGAAATGATTCATTAATTTGCTTAAGAGTGATAAAAGTAAGATAAAATCTACTTTATCTTACTTTTATTCAAAATGTACGCAGATTTGGAAACGCATACGTCATTGTACTACTACTTCCACTAAGTGTTGAATGTTTGAAAAGTATTTGAATTTTCATGCTACTTTAGCATGTTTACTGACTTGCCGTGAACCATTTCTTTATATAGGTGATGATTTCTACTTACCATCAGGTGGTCCGTCAGTTAGTATAATAATCTCATGAAATATATATGAAATCCAATCGAGTTGATAACTGTGTTCTCTACTCCTTTACGTCCTTATAAATGCTAATGTAAGGATATTGTACCTCATTACTATAAGACTTCAGTTTAAGGGTGTGTACCACAAAACTTAATAAATGAGCCAATTGTAGGTTATTGACATGTCCTTGATTGTCGTGTTTGACATCTTATCATTCATTTATATAACAGCCCCAATGCACGATAAATACTACAGCAATATGTTTAGGTATTATAGAAATTAGTCGCATCAAGTGTATTTATTTATATCATATATAGGTGCTTATTTTGCGTTATCAAATTACCAACCTCCGTAAGTGTACGTGGAACGGATATCAATTCCAGCAAAACAAGCTCATACAAAATGCTTTGTGTACAGTTTTTGTGCTTACTTTTATTTAAAGCTAGCAAACTGCATGGTACTTTTTAATGATTTCTAAAATTGATGATGCAACGTTCGTGGTACTGCTTTGCCATTGTTGAGCACTGTATCAAGTGTCATACCTTCTACTTATTTTGTATTTAGTAGTTTCACTGCCATATCTGACCCTTCAAACCGGAATGCAGCTGTAAGCTGCTCGGTGGCGGAAACAGTTGAGACAAAGGTCAAAATGCATAGTCTACTGGTTTTTTTGGGTACTTTTATTTATTTATTCATTGACATCAAAAGCTTTATAGTTTCCAAATATGCTCATTTACGAAGATTACATGTACATAAAATTACATTTTACTTAAGTAATCTATTGGCATCATACGAAAATGTAACAAACTACGGGTCTTATAGGTAACACTGAGCAGTAATTTTTAATTATTTCTAATTATCCCAGACATACTAGGAACTTAGTACTGGTCTTTTTTTTACTATATATTATCATATAAGACATATTGAGCTAATAAGCAATTCTTTAATATTTGTGCCTAAACCTCGGTGTTGTAGACGAACAATTACTTTGCAGGTTTTGTTTAATAAACCAGAAAAAAAATATTAGAAATAGAAATATTCTTTATTTAATTAAACTTAATATTAGCACTTTTAATATCATCAATCATTTTTTACTACTCATTCGGAACTGAGACTCATCACAAGAAGGAGCAAGAAACTTGCGTGTTACTCTTTTAAATAAATGTTGTTTATATGACATATTTAAGAATTACGTGTATATTATGGCAATGATGTTTATTATTGAAAAAGACTGTCACATCGCCTTGTAATTGCGTGTTGTAAATGTTATTAATCTATACATATAAATAAAATTTGAGTGTCTGTTTGTAATATTGAAATAACCGTTTTTTACTACAAGCTTATAACTATAAATATGTTACATACACCAAAATATTTTGTTTTTAATTTTTGTCTCTCTGTTCGTCTATTTGTTCCGGCTAATTTCTGAAATGGTTGAACCGATTTTGACGGGACTTTTTTTGGCGGGTGGCTGATGCAATGAGTAATTGAAGCTACTTTTATTTTAAAAAAATATTTTATTTTAGAAAAATAAAATTAAATTCCACGCGGTCGAAGTCGCGGGAACAGCTAGTCTTGAATAAAAATGTAACATCACAAATCAACTACTTACTTTATTTCAGTAACATACAAAAAAAAATTAAGAAACTATTCCAAAGTAACAATTCAAACAAAAACCGCACAGAGTAGTGTATAACACAACAAAGTTAAATATGCTAACGCTAAGATTAAAAATGAATGACACAATATTAAATTTATTTCAGGCTATTAGGCCCATATTATAAATACCTTATAGATTAAACAAATATATTAACTAATATTATTAAACTAAGATATTGTAATTGTCTGTGTGGTCACGGCACTGACGACGACGATTAATAAACAATATCCAACAGTAACACGTTTCCCGTTTTCAGAGTCCCGACGAGCAACTTCACCGTGAACGATGTGCGCATGTGCGTCGGCTCGCGGCGCCTGCTCGACGTCATGGATGTTAATACACAGAAGAATATAGAGATGACCATGAAGGTACTGCTTCATTAGTGATTAATCGTTAGCGCTCATTCGGGTCCGTCGGGGATATCCGTCAATTGTTCCGTATCGTAGGCTTCACGGAGTCAGTCAGTTAAAATGCTACTTTAAGCTAAAATATCTTGTCGATCATTAAGCTAATGTTATAATAAGAATAATCTATAGATTACTTTTTAAATGCTGTTTTTTATTAGTGTAGGGAATTTTATAAAAATAATAACGATACGATACTATACAATAATGATAAGTCTCTTGATTGAAAAGTTTTACAGAAAACCAATAACTTGTATATAAGCTGTTGACATTGTAGGTACATTATTATTACTCGTATACTTTTGTAAATAGTCTGAGACCAATATATATAAACAAAATAATTAATTCTCCTATGAATGGAGGTCAATATTCGTAGGTGTAGATTTATTTCGGTCAAAAGCCAAACTTACTTTTTATAATGTAATACTTATCTGATGACAACTGTGGTGCAGTTTTGGGCTCATGTATTGCGTAAATGAAGCTCTATATGAAAATTAAGTACGCAGTTTTCATTCTTAATTTTAATTGTTCCTGAATTATACACATCAGTTAACTTTCGTGGACAATGGATTAAGTTTGAAAAATACTAAAATTGATTTGTATTTATCGGTATTGTACTTAGACACGTAAATGTCGATTCCTTATGGAGTCAAATTAGGATAATTAGATATTTTTATAAACTAGTTTGAAAATAACGGCCAAACGGTTGTCTAGAAGTGGATCTATCACAATAGAGTCCCGTTTATTTTATAATAGTTGCTCCCTAACTTTTAAGAAATCAACAGAGAAGACATAGGTTTGAATTGCTTCCTGTTTAGAATAAGACTTTGTTACTATTGATGCAACAATTTATATTTTGCCTTTACCTGCGAAGAAAGATGTTTATGAAATAGTTCTATAGTTGAAGTAAAAATATAAACACTTTGATAATTATAACTATTTAAAAAATTAACACATGGTTTTGTACACCGGATGACTACGTTTATCGGCGCAATTATACGATATTTTTAAAAATGCAATGTACTTTTTGTCCTATTCGACCCCGTGTGCGGCGTTCGGTAAAACAATATGACATAATAGGCACATGAAGTTGATACTAAAAAAATATGTATTTGGAAAGCTGTTTTATTATTTGAAGAATTGTTAGATATATTTTTTTATTAATATATTCATTATAGTCAGTTCTTAGTAATAGTTTTTGAATAATTTATTTAATTGTTTGGAAAGTTTACAAAAAAATGTGGTACATTCCAGTGTTTATTTGATTGGATAATAGAAATACTTTTTAGGGCTGTGTGTATATCGCGGTTTAAGTAGGTATTTAAGTACGCCGCTCTATATCTATACAACGTGGAGGGTGACAATTTATTTTATTTTCAAACAATTTAAAACATAGTATTGATTTTAGTACTAATTTGGCTACATGGCACTTCTACTCTAAATAGCATCGTATATGCACTAGTGTTCGCTGAACGGCAAGGAAGAATTTCTTTAAAGATATTAATTTTTGTATAAGATCCTTCATAGACAAAAATTAATCTTTAAAAAAATTAACTGGACAAAATTGTGTTGTGAAAAATAAAAGGTTTTCTTTTTTTTTAATAGGATTGGCAGCGTTATTACGATGACGCAAACAAAGAAAGGCTTCTGAATGTAATATCGTTGGAGTTTTCGCATACAAGACTCGAGAACTATGTGCAGGCGCCTCGTATAGTCCGACAGGTTGACTGGGTTGACACTGTGTGGCCACGGCATCTGAAGGACCAACAGGTGAGGCATATTAATACACTTGTACAGTCGCATATATTATATTGAGTTCATTTGTTATCAATATAACCACTCCAGTATTCGGAATTAAGCGAGTTTATATTTTTTATTATTTGATTAGATATGTATATAATAATAAAAATAATCTTAAGAATCTGTAATAGACCCTGTAATAGACATGGATAATGATATTTTGCTTGATTTGATTTGAATTCTTGTATGTAATGTATAGAAGAATATCTAATACAACTATATATTTATATATCACTGTGATACTGATGATGAAACGGAGTTTTCATATTAACTACTTATTTTTACGTTCTTTTTACTAATTTGTTTTTTTAAATCTGATTTGTTGTTAATCATTTACACTGATGTCATCAGACGTTTGATTATGTAATACATTTCCAAATTTCTTATTTTAAAGAAACACCGCGAAAATAAGTATTTATACCTAAACCTATTGTGTACAAGGTAAAAAGGGATTCATGTTCATGAGATATGTTAAGAACAGATTGTATTTTAAATTTCAGTCTCTTTTTAACAAATTTTGTGATTATTAATTACTTGATAAGTTGCCAACCCTAAAATTCGGTTTCTATCAACTGTCATTGTTTTACGTCTTATTTTTTTAGACTGAATCTACCAATGCTCTGGACGATATGATGTACCCTAAAGTACAAAAGTATTGTCTGATGTCTGTCAAAGGATGCTACACTGATTTCCACATTGACTTCGGTGGTACATCTGTGTGGTACCATATATTGAAAGGTAATTCATTTATTTTTATCTTAATACACGCAGGTAAAGCTATGAAGTTAATTTAATATATATATTATCAATAGAATATAAATTATCTTCTATTTTTTTTACCATTTATAGAGAAAATAAGGATGATTAATCTTGTTGCTACATTTTTAAATGAAATTTGATTTTACTAACGACGTTTAAGCATCGACGAGGGTGACTATTCGTTAGAAAGATGATAATTTGAAACAAGAAAATATATTATAGTTTACTAGATGTTTCCCCCGCTATTTTGTCTGCTCTTTAAGATAATGGATGTAATATTATTTGTAAAAAGTAATATTCATTTTATATATAAAAAAAAAAGTAAAATTATAGTATTTGTTATTATTTGGCGGAACATTAATAATATGTAGGTAAAACTGGAAACATCCATGTAGAGCGGATGATAGTTCTCTACAGTGTTTCTTGGGACAGGACTTTGGTGATGATGAATTTTTATTGTAGAGTGTAATTCTGTATTATTCTTATTCCAGGAGCAAAGGTGTTCTGGCTGATTCCACCAACTGAAAAGAATTTACAGCTGTATGAAAAGTGGGTGTTGTCTGGTAAACAGTCGGATGTGTTCTTTGGGGACACGGTAGAAAAGTGTATTAGAGTCCATGTGAGTATGAAACACATTAAAAAGTATATATATATAATAACAATATTTATTTCAAGAAAAGACACTTCACATGAGAAACAACTTTACAAATATAGATCTTAACTTAACTTAACCTATGACAGTTAAACAAAGTGGTCAGTTGTGTTTATTTACAACGGTCTCTGCACTAAGCATAGCTTGTATCGCAGGGGCTAGACTATATTTTTATATATTTATTCTTTTACTACAATATATTATATCTGTGAGTTCACATTTCAGATACATTATTCATTTAGCGATAGTTTTTATTATGGCTAATATAGTAGGTACTTAACTAGATTAATATGATGAGGTAGCTTATTATGAACCATGTCGATCCCTTTTGAATTATATAAAGAATATAAATTTGTGCCTACACTTTTATATTTCTGTCAACACTCGACAGACACCCTCATTAGTATCCTCTCCAGATAATATAGATTTAAGTTAAGTGTATAAGTGTATGCGGAGACGGAACGTAGTCCACGTTCCGACTCCGCGTCGAATGTACACGTTACTAATAAGCCATGTAGCACACTATCGAATAAACATAATAATGTACAATAAATAGTACAATCATTTCACCCGTATACTACCTAGATACTACAATAAACAATATATTAAGTAGCGACACGATATCACCTCATACATAATGCTACAGTGGTGAAGTTATAACGCGTTAAGAATTATAGTTGCAATTTCATTTGTAAAAAAAAACTTAGAAAAAAAATATATAATTCTTATATATTTTTCAAAATAAATTACAGTTGCAAGCTGGCTATACATTCTTCATCCCGACCGGTTGGATTCATGCTGTTTACACGCCCAACGACTCGCTAGTTTTTGGTGGCAACTTCCTTCACCAGTTTGGCATCGAGAAACAGTTGAAGATAGCACAAGTCGAGGATGTAACAAAGGTAAGAAACTTCACAAGCTGACCATCCCAACTTGCCGTGGGTTGAGCAATATGCATAATATTAATACTAAGTAAGGTTAGTCTATAATGTATATACAAATAAAAAAAATCATGAAAATTATATCATACATTGTATGCAGAAGTTATTTAAATAAAGAATGTAATCTATGTGCATCATAATAAAATAGTGATGTGGTGAATATTCGTAACTGTATGTAACACACACTGATAGGTTTATTTGTGCAATTAAAAAGAAATTACAGGCCAGTATTGATAATAGTGATGTTGGCACTTAGTGGATTTTGTTTAATCTAACGCGAGACGCATTGTTTCTTAAACTAATTTGAATTATTAACAGTTTTCTATATCCCATCATTTTACATAGGATATTGACATATAAAGACAACTCAAGAGCGCGATGTCAGTCCATGTTGGCATCGCGCTCTTGAGTTGTTGTACCATATTGGCAAATGGTTATTTACCATGAGGATGATAAAATGATCACAAACTTAAGTGGTAACGGTGTAAACCGACCTGACTTCAAGCTATAATTTTCTTCACTGGCGAGCCGCTACCGTAAACCGTTAGCGCAGGCAGAGTATTATTTCATTGTCATATCTGTCATAAAGAAACCTTCGGTTCATACAAGGCCTCAGATTGTTTATTATTCCAATATAAAAAGATACCGTTGTAAATGAGTGTTGTGTAAATTGGCAGGTGCCGCAGAAGTTCCGGTACCCGTTCTTCACTGAGATGCTGTGGTACGTGCTGGACCGGTACGTGAGCGCGCTGCTGGGCCGCTCGCACCTGTCGCCGGAGGGCCCGCCCGCGACCCTCGCGGCGCCCGCGGACCATCTGCACCTCACGCAGAACGAGCTGCACGGACTTAAGGTAATCAGCAAAAAGTTTTGAACAGAATATAACAAGGTGCCGTCACCAATACTCGTTTTCAATCAACAAATAAAAGAGGTGGTTTTCAGTTGGATATGTACTATTGTTGTGTTGCCTTGTGTTAGTATTTTTGAAGTATGATTAAATTCTTTCGAATTCGGTATTTCGTTTGTAATAAAAACTATTTTATATTATTTTAAAATAAAAATATTGGATAATATTAAATCTAATTAGAAACAATTGATTTACATGATGTTATGATATTTTCAGGCCATAGTGATGTATTTACATCAACTGCCGGCAGCGCGTAAGTCCGTACCTGAGCTGTTGTCAGATCCGATTGCACTCGTACGTGATGTGCGTACGCTGGTCGAACAGCACCGTCATGATAAGCAGCATCTTGCTGTTACCGGCGTGCCTGTTCTCAAGGGTGAGAACTATTTCTTTCTTTCTATGAATGAAAATATTTAAATTGAATGAATAATTAAATAGAAATATGAATAGTTGCAAAATCAATTACTGAATTTTATGAATGAACATACAGATGATAGAATAAGCGTAGAAGGAGTTAACCATAGCAGTTTACAGGGGAGTCCGTGTGGAACTCAATGTTTCCCAAACTTTTTTGTGCCATGCTCTACATTAGTCTTTCTAAAATTCTTATAGCATAGTCCTGGCATTTCGTACCAGCGACTTAGTACTTCCTGCTCAGTCGGTAGTTTGAGACGGTCCGACCTTTAGGAATCGAGTGTGTTGATGTATATGAGCGTGGGTAGTAAACGAGGCACTGTCCAGGGCCGGAGGAGGGCGCGGCGGGGGGCGGCGAGCGGCGGCAGTCGGGCGCGCGCGGGCCCCGCGGCGGCGGCCGCGCCGGGCCCGCCAGGCCCCGCCCGGACCACGCCAACGCCGCGCCGCGCCGCCGACGCACCAGGTATATAATGATGAGCCGTCATAATATATATATATATAGGCATTTTTGCCCAGACATAAGTCGATATAAAAAATAAAACTATAGTACAAGTAATTTCAAAAAAATGTTTCCGTGTAGGAGAGCCATTATTACTTTAAAATAGATTTTCAGTCAAATTTTAAGTTATAACGAGTATACATATAAAATATCATTTTCTTTAATTCCGAACAACGCTTCACTACCCAACTCTCGTAACGTCTGTATTGCCTTATATTAGATTTTAATTTTTGTTTATATAGATTTCTCTATTTATTACTATTTTTTAAAAAAAATTGATAATGTACATTTTATTAAACTTTAGTAATGAATATTTTAAGTTATTTCTATTCTCACTTACAAAGACATTTTACGAGCTTATATTTTTTTGTCTCAATTTTAAGCTTATACAAATAAAAGTTAAATATAATGTAAACCGTTTAATTTTCCAGATGCAAGAAATGCGAGGCGTGCCAGCGGACGGACTGTGGCGAATGCGTGTTCTGTCACGATATGGTCAAGTTTGGTGGACTCGGCCGTGCCAAGCAGACCTGTGTCATGCGACAGTGCTTACAGGTATTTATTGACTATTAGTTGAATCCTTATATTGATTATACGAAACAAAAACTACTGAACCGAAGATCCAGATTGACTTTCAAAATAATAATAACCTAATAAAAATTTCATAGCCTCATAGTCCCAAGCTAAGCACAGCTTGTGTTATGGGTAGTGGACAACTGTTAGACTGATGTGGGCAACATAGATCTTTTTTTTTTGTAAATGTTGTCTAAAGCGATAGACCATTGAGGTCGTCAAATTAAAAAGAATTACTAAACCAAAAAAGTCAAAGAAATAAGTTTCATCATTCAACTTCAAAAATAACGAATTTCCATATAAACTTTTATTCCCTACTTTATTTTACCCCCTTCATCATCATCATCATCATCTGCTTCTTCCTTATCCCATTTATTTGGGGTCGGCGTAATATGTTTTTCGCTTCCATTCATCCCTGTTCGCAGTCATCGCGTTATTTACTTCCTTTCTTACCATATCATCTTTCACACAGTCCATCCATCTTTTTTCGGCCTTCCTCTGCCCTTATAACAATCCACATTCATATGTAATTTATTTTACCCCCTTAAAGGTAACAACTTATGAAACTTTGAATATCGTATTTATTTTTATTTAATCAACAGCCTAAAAAATATGTTTCAAGCTTCTAGCTTTAAAAATGGCGATATTTACATACAAACTTTCGTCTCCCCTTTCAACTCTTTTCATTTTAAAAATTAGTCTGTTCTTCTTCAGGGTCTAGTTTATGTGTATCAAATTTCATTTAAATCGGTTCAGTAGTTTAGCGTGAAAGTGGGACAGACAGACAAACAGTTACTTTTGCATTTATAATATTAGTATTAGTAATTGACGCTGTTTATTGTTGACAGCCCATGTTGCCTGTGACGGCGTCGTGTGCGGTGTGCCATCTAGATGGCTGGATGCAAACGCCAGTCGCGCCGCAGGCAAAGGGTAACTCTGGTAACTAACTCACAAACATCATATGTGACTGATAACATTAACCATGCTTCTATGTAATCATATAATACAGAACTATCATTAATTATATATTTTTTTACATGTGTAGTTATGGATCAGATATACATATCTATATTTAGAGTATCTGGAATACTATTGAAGCGGAGATATCTAATGTACTTGATGAGTGGGAGGTATTGAGGGTTTTATGAGGAAAATTACAGAGATAAAAGAAAATGCGACTAAGACGATAAAGATATATATATAGAAAATGACGAAAAGAGTACGTCAAAAAAATAAGACGATCGCTACAACTATTTTCAGATAATGATTTTATAATGTATTAGTATACAACAGTGTTGTCTACATATACAAAATGTAATGTCGCAAGTTTCGTTATGGTATTGTAATAAAACGCGTGGTAGATTATTGATTTTCATATACAAGCAGTATTTTTTAGGTTTTCTAACTACAATAACTATTGCCTTGCACCATTCTCTTCATTTTTTATTATTAATTCATTATATTTTTCTAACAAAAGCCTTTTTTAATAATTGAAAGTTGTGGGTATATTATTGTCATTTTGTTTTCATAGTCATTGAAAAATATATTTAAGTGTTTGTATTAACATATTTTCTGTTTAGTCATGCTTTTTATTTTGTAAATAATGCAGTAAAGTATTATGTTCATATTGCATATTTTTTTAAACTTTCGCAATATCAATACTATATTTAATCGTGTCTTAACAGGAATAATTTTATTGTAAATAAGGTATTTATCTTTTTCTTCGTACTAGATCGCACAAGTAGTGGTAAGCTTGTGACCTTAATTAACATAAAATTGTTCATATTAAGATCCAGTAACTATATTATAATGCGTCCTTTTTTAAATCTATTGCATGGAAAAATAGTATTTGTCGTGTACTATTGTGCATTTATTATATTACAGTTAAAGAACATGAATGCCTGAGCATACTGCAATATAATAAATACCCATTTCAGAGGCCAATTTTAAAATAACAGAAAACCTTTTCTGTTTTTTTTAAAGAATTGCAATGAGAATTAGCTCGCTTTGACATTTATATTTTCTAGTAATGTTTCTTTCAGCATGTTAGTCATGTAATTTGTATTGTCCAGGACGTAATGGGCCGTCATCTCTACGCGAGTGCTCCGTGTGCTACAGCATCGTGCACCCTGGCTGCGTCCCGCCCGGCGGCCAGCTCAACGAAGATCTGCCCAACTCCTGGGAGTGCCCCACCTGCACCACCATGGGGCTCAACCACGACTACAAGGTAATTAGCGTGACAATACATTCATAGTAGGACACTATAGTATGTAATATGGAGGAAATTTCTCAAAGTGTTAAGTCCTAAATAAAATAATAAAGGTGCACATTGCGTGCACCTTTATTAGTTCACTCTACACATATTTATAGGTAATGCTATATTACTACTATTACATGTAAAAATAATATTAACTAAAGTTGAATGCTATTATGCCTTTGTTCAGCAGTGGACGTCTTCCGGGCTAAGATGATGATGATGAATGCTAATTCAAATTCAAATTCAAAATATCTTTATTCATGTAGTTCTATTACAGACTTATGATATGTCAAATCTACCGTCAGTTTGGAATGATTTTGAGATGAGAAGAACTGACAAGAAACTCAGCTCATATTTTTTTTTAAATGTTGTACATATTTACAATAATACAATTTCATTTAAATTCAAATTTGGGAGAATAGAGTGACCTGCAGCAAATGCTATTGAAAAAAAAAACAAATACTCTAATCAGTGATCGCAACCTGAACAGACCCGTCCCTATTAATATATAATATAGTTGACCAAGTCATCAAGCAATTTGGTCAGGCAGTATAAAGTAAAATATGAACTATTATGTTGTATGATTGCAGCCACGACATTTCCGTGCGCGCCAAAAGTCTTCTGATCTCAGACGTGTGAGTGTGGGCTCGGATGTGAGCCAGCTCAGTCAACATCATAGCAGCTTACAGGTGTGTGACAATTTATAATTTTTTTAATAATAATAAGAAGAACGTAATATAGTTTATTTTCTCCACAAAAACATTTACATTATATACAGTTATACAGCTATTTGTGCATGTCAATGTTAATGCTAAAGTACAATTTTGTGGAGAACTGGTGCTGGAATATGACGAAGTCACTGATCATCTTTCCTTCCAGTAGATCTTACGTTCTAAGATTTGTATTAAAAGTGGGATATGGCTATTATATATAAAAGACACAGACTTTATAAAATGATGACAGTATGTTAAAAATGTAAAAGTATCTAACAGAAAAAAAACTTGTATAACTGGGTCTAGTTATAAAATATAAATCTTGAAATTAGTGAAACATGGATAAATTACCACTAGATACAGTATAATATTTACAGTTTTAGTAGTTAGTTTGGCTTTCGGTGGATTATGTTAAGTGGTACATTAATAGTTTAATTAATTTAAAGTAACTAGAATGGGGAATGCTGAAGGTAAGCTGCAACTGTTAACCAACCTATATAGGTTGATTAACAACACTACGGACAGCATTGGTCGTAACGTGATGCCTATGGCATCCTTTATATGTTGCCTTTCTGAAGAACAAAGATGTAACTTCTGTAACTTCATTGTTACCCTATCAATTATACCCCGGATGGACAGAGTTGTAGGTAAAACTTATTATTATATATCCAGGTGAAGGTACGATTATATATTATTTGTTATTTAGAACAAATTACCGGCACCGGCGGCGGCTTTGGGCGTCAAGTCTGAAACGGGGTCAGACAATGAGGGGAAGAATGAGGTGCCACATATTAAAACTGAAGAGGGTGAGTCTGGACATATTTTTATAATTAATCTCATTTCACATTATTATAATTTGATGAATTAAAAGAAAGACTAAAGATATTGAATTCAAGGCTGATTGACACCAAATATGGTGGTTATACTTTTGATTGGCTCTCTGGTAATGAATACACTGATAACAAAACAAACTAATTCGAGAAACGCGGTGGTCTAGTTCCCTGTCACCTTGGAATAAAGTATCCGGTGAGATATGGGTGACCCAAGTCTTGAATTCATTATGACGTCAACAATTGCAATACCTGTGACTAACTCATCTGGTATAACAATTGTCAAGTTATAATAACAATAAATTAATACCTATGGTTACAGATATAAAACGCGAAGACTCTGTTTCTGGTGGCGAAGGTGTGGAAGGCGGCGAGGGTGGCGCATGGGAACCAGCCGCCAAGAAGCGCCGGCCTTCCGATGAAGACGACGCACCTAAGAAGCAGGCTTTGAGGACGCATCACGCCCTGCAGCTTACACATCACACCTCAAAGGTGACCACTATTTCCACTGCCAAATAATCATCTGTATATACCAGAGGAATATAGCATAATATGTGTGTATAAGGGCTTAGGGGATTGTTAGTAATAGGGGCTGGCTTCATTGGTAGTGATGTATGATGTAAGTGAATTAGTTCTACACCTAGTTAATTTGCATTATAGGCATTTAGGCCTAACTTCATACTCAACTTATCATCATCCGTTGCGTAAACACAGTCAGGTGCACCATACCATTATCATCAATTTAAAAAAAAGTTAGTATTCGGGAGCACCATTCCATTATCACCCATTAAAAGAAAAGTCACGTAATGCCGATTACATTCATAGTGAACCTTACATTTCGCAGGTGTTAAAGAAACCGTTGTATCCCGTACGGCCGGCGCCCCCTATGAGCGCATTGGTAAACAACAGTGGGTCCCCGTGGCTGGACCGTGAAGCCATGCTGCGCGTGTTCGCCAAGCTACTGCCCGCGGAGCTAGCCACCTGCGCCCTTGTATGCAAAGCCTGGGCTGAGTACTCTGTGAGTATAATTAATCAGTACCAAATAATTGGATTATTTGTCATTCAGTAAAGACAATATCAGCCGTCGGTGACATTGAGTATTTTAACAGATGGTCATATAATAAATTTGAATTTGAATAAATACCCAAGGATAATTGGTAATATATAAAGACGACATTTTCCTTTGCCAAAAAAGTATATCGCCGCATCTATAGCAATTTTTGTATAATCAACTAAAAGTCCTAATTTAACCAACATAAAAAAATTGTGAGTACACATTAGGTGGTCAGTGATGGAAACACTAATAAGTCATCAATTTAATCTGAGAGTTAGTTTTATATGCTCCTTCTGTGTTGGATTAAAATATCCTATTGTGAAATATGGGTATTTAATCACAACATTAAAAGTTTCTGTCTACCCAACTTGGGATTAAAGGATAACCGTGTAATATTCGCCTTACATACGTTTTATAGATGGATCCGTCGCTGTGGCGTAGTATGTCGTTCGTGCAAGTGCGAGTGTCGGCCGCGCAGCTCGCTGGAATCGCGCGACGACAACCGCTCTCACTCGGCCTCGAGTGGTGCCATCTTGCGCGCAGGCAGCTTGCGTGGTAACGACCATCATCAATCTATAATGACAAGTGGCAGTCACCTATATCAATATTGCAAATTACAATATATATATATAAAAAGCCACTATGATTATTTTATTTTCTTATATTAGAACATATTTCGTTCATTACATCCCGAACTATTGAATTGAACCACATGGGAAAACGAAACTGACATAATCTAAATAAAAAAATACAGCTGAGTTAAAAAGAGTTTTAAAAATATAGTTTCATTAATAACATTTGCCGTGTCATTTTTTTACCCTTGAAATGCTACAAATATTGACATAGCCGAATGTTGTAAACTCCGCTTAGTACGTCCTATTTTTAGTAATCATTTATTTTTCATACAAAGAAGTTTTATTGTATAGTAGACAAAATCGGGTCTTTCTAAATATGAGCATCTGTACTAACGTGTAATGTTCTCTATGCAGGTTACTAACCCGTCTGCCGGCGCTGCGGTCTCTTTCATTAGCGGGTTCACCAGCGGAGGCGGCACTAGCATTGCGGTCCTCTAGTTGCCCACCACTCACGTCACTGGATCTATCGTTCGCGCGGTGCTTGGACGATGCCAAGCTACGTGGTATCCTCGCACCGCCGGAGAACTCCCGGCCGGGTGGTGGTGCACGAACTGGTGCTGAACCTTCACGGCTAGCAGCCCTGACGGTGCTGCGGCTACCCGGCACGGATATCACTGACGTCGCCATGAGATATGTTGTGCAGGTGAGGTTTGACACAAGGAAATATATTGTGGAACTGAAACTAGGACTTTTGCAAGTCTCTTGGTCGTCCGTAACTTGGAGTTACGATTTCTAAAATTTTGGCCAACATGAACGATGTATAATTTTTTTTAATATAGAAACAAAGATGACAAATTTAGTCTGCAAATAAATGATATGGCTAATATAAAAATATCGTCGAGAGTAATTTATTTTATGCAGAAAAATATATTTTCCTATTTGATACTATCATTATTATTAATATTACAACACGTTTTCAAATTTTGAACATATTTTGAAAGGTAAAATACCCGTGTCAAATAATAGTAATCCAGGATAGTAGTCATAAAACTAAGCAGTACTTGTACTGTAGGAACTAAACAAAAATATATATTTCTTTAAAACCTAGAAAACACCGAGACTATTACAAACAATCATACTTATGAATACATTTTTTTTTTGTATCGTACGAGGATTTAGCTAAACCGCTGGACCAAGGTCGTTTAATATCAGAAAGATGTGAAGTGGTTCTTTTGTTTTGCTATAGGCTCTACCGAAGCTGTGCGAACTAGACGCATCTTCGTGTGCGCGGTTGACTGATGCTGGCGCGGCACAGTTGGCACACCACGCTCTGCAGCGTTTGTCTCTGGCCGGCTGCCGGCTGCTCACGGAGGCTGCGCTTGATCATCTCGCGCGATGCCCCAATCTCGTCAGGTATGACCTCATTTGCGTTATTCTTACTCCCTTAGTTTTAAATTTTTAAGAGTATCACTGTAAGGAATAACAGAATCTAAATGCCGCTTAAATCACATAGGTTATATAATTTACATTACAAAAACCCAACCAGTATCCATGATACTGGTTGGGTTTGTAATTTATGTGTGTGTGTGTATATATGTTAATGTATATAATATTGGAAATACGAAGTATGTCTGTTTGTATGTCTGTTTCGTACCTTTCACTAAATTAATCTCAATGAAATTTAGCTTGAAGATATACTGAATAGACGGCTAAATTGTATCATAAATAATATAGAATTTGTAATTTCTTCATAGACTTGATCTCCGACATGTGCCTCTCGTCTCCACGCAAGCTGTGATCAAATTTGCCGCCAAGTCGAAGCACAATCTCCATGTAAAGGACGTGAAGTTGGTGGAGTTGAGGAAGACCTGATCAGAAGACCAATCTATGTTGGCAGATACCGCCTGAACCTGTAGTGTAGTCCTCGTGCCGCTGGTTTTGGAATGACAGCCTCATTTTTTATGCTCTGCTGTGAGTTACTCATAAACATATATTAACATCCCAAATCAGAGGCCTATTTATGAAACAATATTCTCGACAATTTTCAATTGTAAATGATGAAAATGGGTAGATTTGCCATTTCCTATGTACCATTTATAAGTTGCAGATGCAAGCTAAGTAGTTCGCATAGTTCTCAATTGAAACTATTCAATGGTATAAATAACTATAACATAATATACATAACTACAAAGTTATATATATTTATCTGTTACAATCGAGAATTGGTGAAGTCCTTACATAATTAAGCCCCTGAATACATTTGTTACCGTAAGAAGTGTATATTAGTCTACTGTTACCACGCTATCTATCGCTGTCTAGGAGACTTGATATAGCGCGTTACATCGAACTTTTCGCCACTTGTACTGTTAATGCCATCAAAATATGATTAGGAATATCACTGATCTCGACCGGTTCAATGACAGTTGAAAGTGAGATTTGTATAGTTTGCAAAGACAATTATTTGCATACTATATATAACCAATAGAAAAGTCAATTAATGTTAAAAACTTGACGTAAAATCATTTAGCGTAGGTTGTTTTTAAAGTATTGACAGCCACGAATTTTGTTTCTATTATAGAAACCATGCAAATACTTATATAATATAAACGTATTCTACAAAAACTGTTATATTTATATAACAGTATTTATATAACACATATATATCACCAAACCTGCAGATTTGATCAAATTATCAAATCAATTAATACTATTCGTCAAATCCAATATTTAGATATGGTAAGAAAATTTCTGCTCCTTAACATACGTTTAATCATTATAAGATATATTTATATTTCGCACAACATATCAGAGCTACATTCCTGAACCATCAGCACGAGTCATTAATGTAGATATTGAAACAAAGACTTGAATAAGCCTATGCTATTGAAAGTGATACGATTTCTAATGTTTAATATATTAGAGGAATTCTGGAAAGAGGAAACGTTAGAATATAATTGTCATTTGATGGAACCAAAAATATTAAGGAATCCAAACAGGATATAATATTTATTTTTTATTTTTACCTGCATCTGACTATATTTTCTTTTGTGTTATTAATTCCTGATTATTTAGGACTGAATAAAATTAAGGTTCCTATTCCACAGGTAACTGAGTAAGTTAAATGAAGAAGGTTGTATTTAATCTGATATACCATATTTTATTATTATTATTATTAACTATTAACATAATTACTGTATTCTGTTTGTTAAGACTATTTGAGATAGAAAGCTACTTAAAGCAATGTCTTTATTCTGTCTGTTTGTAACACAAACACACAGATAAATAGTCAGAATTCTAATAATAATTGTTTCGGGGTTATTGTATATCAATTATGTTGTTAATTCTCCTAATAGTTTTTGGGATAAATCTTTCATGTTCAGACAGTGATTAGTTTTAATTTTATTATTACGTGTACCTGTGGAATTGGCGCTGGATCTTTCAGTAATTATTATGTTCTATTCTTTATTATATAATGTGTTTAATATTTTCAGCAATATGTAAATCAGTGCCAACATAAAATTGTATTCAGCACATTATTACTGCACAATCTAATAATGAGTATATGAGAGTTATGGATATTAATTTTATTGCATGCTGTTGCATTGGTATTATTATATTTTATTGTTGATATGTTTTTTTTTTTGTAAACACGATTAGGCTATTGAGAGGCTTAAATTCTGAAACTAGAAATATTTTATTGCAACCAAAGTGAGCGAAAATTTTAATAGCAGTCTGTTCAGTAATAAAATTTATTCTGTTATAATATAATAATATTGACGTAGGTAGTTTATTAGATATCTTTTTTCTTACTAGCATATTATCTTTTTTATTTTCCAAATTTAAGGCGACGTAAACTTCTTAAGTTAAATGGTATTATTTCTGAACTTTCTGAACGTTTCGTATTGTATTTTCTTAGATCGAATCCTTGTTGAATATGCTTCAAATTACAGGGTATTAAACCTTAAACTTATTACACAGGACAGGGTACATCTGTACATCAGATTTAGTATGGGCGTCATAATGTATTTTGCGACGTCACCGATGCTCAATATATATATATGCTCATTATATATAGTGGACGGTCACTACTTGGTGCCATTCTAATTAAATTAATTTAAAAATATAGCTTGATTTCTACTTGATGCTATTGATATACATTTATTTGTATGTGTTTTAGTTTGTGTTCTGTACTACCTGTGTTTCGTGACGTTGCTCGCATGGAGTAAAGCCTATGTTACTTGCTAATATCATAGTTTTATATGGTGAACTTTTTTTTTAGTTTAGTCTAGACTTTTTTTTTTATTTTTTCTTTTCTCCATTACGAATTAGAAACAAATCTCTTTATAATGAATATAGATAACGAGAACAAGCTGCTCTTAAAATAACGTCGACCACTTTAATCAACTGGCATATTCATTAATATATTTTTTGTGTATATATAATTGTTTATCTCTTAAATCAGATCAAAAATAAATAAATGTTTTAGTTCATGACAATTAAAAATTGCTTAGGTTGTATTATGTTTAGTTCTAGTCGCTTTTTAGTTATAAGGTATTGTTATTATGAATGACTGCGCTGAATACTGTAAATATGAGTAGTTAGTTACTATGAAGCAGAGAAAGAGAGAGAGAGACAGACATATAAAGCTGGTTTCCTCTTAATATAAACTTTTTTTATTTGAAGTCAGTTTGATTTAATTGTTAATAAACTGTGTATACTCTATTTGGATGTGTCCAATAAGTATTTTACTTGTAATATTTTGTTTGTATAGAACATAACTTTGTGTTAATCTATTGGTGTGCATTTGTACCAAATATCTCGTCATAACTTCATTTGCAAATTATACAGGTTTAGTGGTATAGTATACCACACCCTAATAATGGTGTCGTGAAACTAAAACCACAACAATTATACTTATCAAAATTTGGAAGTTTTCATACCGCGTTTAGGTACCGATTTACGATTATGAGTGGTTAAAAAAATATATATATTACTGAATACTTTTAGGCAATCTGTGCAGTTTCATGAGTAGTATCTATGAGTTTTAGCTAAGTTATAGCTTTACCACTAACCCTGCATATAATTTATATCAATTTTTTTTATAGGAAGCCAGTTATGTTCTTAGCAGAATATTAACTAAATTGATTTAGTTTTGTTTTGTAATTATGTGACCATTTAAATAAGAATGTTAACTTTCTACGCAAGTTATAGTTGGATATGTGTATTCCATGAGATCTAAAAGTATTTGCATTAAGGGGCGTTATAAGTCGTATATTATATTTACTAAAAAATTATGTACACAAGAAAATATATAATAACATATATTTGATGAAAAAAGTCCAGGAATAGAATTTCATTAATTGAATCCTAATTTCAAAGTCAAAGTTTAATTTCGTGAAATTTAAAGTATGTACGTAAGGCAATCAATTGGTATATATAGAGATACTTTTGAACTAATTGCTACAGACGATATTCTATTCTTATACAGAATGTTTGAATCTGCCACATACACATAATATACATATATATATATCTGTATATATATATATATATATATATATATATGTGTATATATATATATATATCAATATTCATTAATAAACTACAACATTATAGCAATCTATCTTGAAATTCATATACTTGTAATGTGGTAGTAAAAAACAAGATTATGACGGGACGGAAATGTAATAGCCTCTTACAGTAAATATTAATTACCTTATAGATATATGCAACAATTATTATTAATAATTATTACACAGATAATACTGTCAACCAAAAATAGGTTTATTATATTTAATCTATGCATTTAGAACAGAGTTTCAAGTGTTTTTATCGTATCTCGAAAGATTTCTCAATATAGTAAATTAATACAGTTTTGTGCCTCCTGGAATACACTCCCCTAATCTCCTAATCCTGTACATACATAGATATGAAGAACGTTGTCGTTATAGTTTTTAAGCCAACCGACTCTGGTCAGTGAGCGAGGTCAGAGGGCCGCCTATAGTGTTAGTTTAAGAACTTAGAAAAGTCAAACGTATACTTATCAAATTTCATATACCGTCTTAGTTACCCCCTCAATGATTCTTTTCACAAACGGACCACTTATTTGAAACCCCACACAAGATGTAAAATTTGATAAGTATACTAAATTTATTGTTGCAGACTGTACATATACTACGTAAGTCGTTATCGAGTAACATTTTTACTTAGAACAATAAGCTCTTATAATTCTACTCGAGCTAGTTTCTAAGGATTGTGTGCCTCAGTGTATAGACAATTTAGGTATTGGTAAAAAAATGTTATAGTTCGATTCATATGTTTTGTATTTGACAGGTTCGTAGTGATAGTGACTAATATTTTTGGAGAGTACTCGAAAGCTTTGTATACTAGAAGAAAAAAATGGGTATTCAGTAAATAACAACCATTACAATCTAGCAAAAATAATAATTACAACTTGTCAAATATGCACTTCAATATGGAACGAGTATAATAATATATTGAATGATAATATCATTATTCACAGCAAAATAATTATCAAAATTAGTAAATAATGTGTGATTAATGATTTTATAAAACTTATAATGTAAGATAATAGATATTATCTAGTTTTCTAAGAGGCCTTTATGCGAGAGTTTTAATCGATTTGGAAGTTTTTTTTAAGTCAACTCGCATGATGGCAACACTGTCGTTGGCAGAGTCGGTGATACTAATGCCAATGGCTAGGTTTACAAGAAATAGCGATATTACGAGAATTTTACGCGTTTACAATTATTGTAACATTGTATCATTGGTTACCATAAGCAATTAGATTATTTCATTGAAATAAATACATATTTACAATGAAGCCTTCGTTTTATTTACATTTAAAAACTAAGACCTTTGGGTGTTGTCTTATGCGATCCTATTTGTCCGCGCATTTGGTTCCTAAGCCCTGCTTTCTTTCTGCACCACTTGCAAAAACGGCCTCGCGCATTCGTCCGTCTGACCCAAATCATACGGCCTACAAGTGTCGCTAAAACCATGGGGGAAATATTCGAAGCAGTTGTGGTGGGGGTAAAATCGACTCTAACTTAGCACACAACACAATATTAAATTATTTTGTTATTTTAAAAATAGAATAACTTATTTTCTCGCAATGACCTGAAAAGCTAAAAGACAGGTACCTAAAAGGCTATACTGGTAATCGCGTCTACATAATTAGTACTTATGATAAGATGCTAAGAAGCCAGTTTTATATGAGAGATTACTCGGTAATTGTACTGTGATTGATTGTCTTCACACTGGAGTTGCTTGGCGGCAGAAATATGTGACACCATAAATAGCCACGCTGAGGACTCTCTCTAGCCTGTTCTTGGCTCCTGCATAGTGAGATAGATATTAATTTTTGTTTACCATAGTGACAATGTACCTAGACGTCGATCAATTTTTTATGAAATCGAAAAAAAATATTCGTCG